AAACTCTGAAACCATGAATTAAAATAAATCCTATACCACGTCCTGCAAAAAAAAAAAAAAATGCCACTTCAACACCAAGGGACCACTCCATGGCAAAAGTAGATTCACTCCCCAGTAGTCAAACTTGCATTTCAACTGGAAAAAAAAGAAAACTACAGAAACATTTTTCTAATTCTGAAATATATGTATGGTGCATGCACTAACAATGTGTGCCTGTCCTCCATTAGCAAACTATAGTGTCATTGTTAACCACTGTTTCCTAGTTCAGGGAAAGGGACTAAGCTATCTGGGGAAGATCTTCCTGGCAAAGGAACCCAAAGGGTTCTAATGCTGGAAGTTCACGAATAGTTTTCCCCTACTTGAAAGGGCTGTTCCCTAGGTCTGTCTGATCTCATTTTTCATCAGGCCTCCTCATCCCCTACCAACCTTCATTTGTTTCTTGAATCCTTCTCTTCTCTTGGCCTGCACATGCTATATGTTGGAACTTGAATTGAGGACCTTTGTCCTCTCCACTTGTAGCCTTCAATCTCCCCCTCTGCCGCCCCCCCCCCCATGTCCCTTTATTATGGAACACTTGCTGGCTTTTTAGCAAGGGTCTCACATCTATATTCTCAGAGATCTCTGTTCTTTCCAACTTAATACTTACCAAGATTACATTTACTTTATTATTTACAAAATCAACTTAATTCTTTTTCTACTGCCTATAAGTGCCATGAACCATAAACCTAAGGACCTCAGATGGGGCCTGTTTACTACTGTATCCTCAAAACTTAGGATGGCGTTTGGCATATAGTAGATACTCCCAACAAACACTAGACACATATTGATTGACAATAGGCACATTGAATTGGATTTTGAAAAATTGACAAAACTTAGAGGTACAGAAAGGCAGAAAAAGGATTAATATAAGGTGAAACCTCACTGTTCTGAAAACCTTAGAAAAGACTGCATTAAAAATAATTTTGAAAAGATACTGTGGACAAGTCTAGACCTCTTGAGGAATCTCAGACCAATTTCTACTCTATTGTGAATGATTTAATATTGTTTGAACTGTAAAAGATAATCCAGAAACTGTGTATAGAACATGAGCCATCAGTCTTGTCTGAGACTAGAGTTCCTAAATGGAAGGTTCCAGAACAACTGCCAGGAAGGGTGGTAAATCACAGAGGATGGGTAGCATCTGAAATATGAAGTAAGAGAGGGTGGGTTCTCACACTGGGGGACAGTATATTGCTTTGGTTTTCAAAGTTCATCCATGCTACTTGCCTTCTTAGAAGCTGAATCCCTCTTTAGAGAACATGACTGAAAGCTTGCTGTGTGTGTGAACCAGCTGTGGTTCAGTTTTGTTAGAGTATTTTTTATTCAGGAAACTTGAATGCCTTTACCAGTAAAGTTGCTTATAATTCCACTCTGAAATAAGGTGTGTGTGTGTGTGTGTGTGTGTGTGTGTGTGTGTGTGTGTGTGTGTGTGTACTGATTCTTCTGACAAATACAAAAGCTATAACAATCTATATGTATCCAGTGTACCAACAACCAACAACCCACTCAGCCCCCAAAATGAGCTCATGATATGTTTAGGGAGCCACTAGTTTTAAGCAAGAGGTATTCTGGGGCATTAGTTCCTAAAGTCTATCACCATAAAGCATCAATCATTGTACTGCATACGGGTCTATTTCCAGACTGCCCTCTTTTTCATTTGGACATCAACTGTTAACAATCGTGAGAAGGCAAGTGTAGGTATCTCTTGCATAGCATATGACAGTAACAACCTATGTTTGTCCATAACTTACTGTATGGCAGACTTTTCCTCATTTCTTTATGTATACTATTTTAATGCTCTCTATAATACCATGAGAGAGGCTCTATCTATCCCCACTTATACAGAAGGAAGCTGAGGAGATGAATAAAGAGGGATGAGATATCTCACACCCCCAGTAAAGACCCCACTTCATACCTGACCCCCAACCTTATACATATAGCTACATCTCATGTTGTCTTTGGATCAGAGCAGGAAACCACTTCTTTTAGATATTTCTCCTTGTCTGGCCCAACCTGAAACCACCATCCAAATAAATATACTGAATCCTAATTCATTGTGAGGCCGTAACATGAAATAATCTTTCATGACATTAGGAAATTGACATCCAGTTCCATCTGCCTGCACTGTTGAAAACAGACAAAGCATTCATCCAACAGGGGGTTGGTCTTGGCCCAGAGAGACGGGGCAAAGGGGTTATCACCTGTACTCTCCTAGCTCTTGCCTCAAGCTGTGGACTTTGTTCCTCACCCACCACCCCAAACTGAATTCTGGGTAAAGTTGGACTCAGAAAAATGCAGCAGCTGCTTCCTGCTAAGGTCATTCATTCCAGCAACACTGGAAGTAAAGTTTATTGAAATGCCTTATCAGGCCACCTTTGCCAGAAACCACGGGAGCTTCCCTGAAAGGGAAGCTGTTTCTGATATATTATAAATACTGGATTTGAGTAAGATAGACAAAAATATCCTTCTGTTAAAAAGAAAGGATTTTTTTTTTGTGGGGCTGAGGCTAAAACATTGGGCTTTATACAACTGGGCAAACATTCTACCACTGAACTATACCTTGAGCCCCAGGACAATAATTTTTAATGTAATATATTTTCTTCGAAAAATAAAATGTTACCAGGCATCCATGGCTCATGCCTGTAACTCAGGAGGCTGAGATCTGAGTATTAAGATTCTAATTCAGCCCCAGCGGAAATGTTCATGAGATTCTTATCTCCAATTAACTAGAAAAAAATATTGGAAGTGGAGCTGTAGCTCAAATGGTAAAGCAAAAGCAAAAGAGCTAAGGGACAGCACCCAGACCCTGAGTTCAAGCCCCAGGACTGGCACCAAAGCAAAAAAAAGTTAAGCTCAAACAATACTTGAAGGAAGCATACTCTATTGTAAGCCCTAATATAGTGGGCCCAAGAGGAAAATCTCTGCATTGCCAGTGTTTATAGCACTTTCCTTTTTTTAAAATCAGGAATTTAGGGAAGTTACTGATATTCTTAGTAGTGTTCATTAAAAAGATTTTCCCATTTGGAACTCTATCAATACAATAACTATATACTACTTGCTGTATGACAGACATAGACATTACAATGTATGTTTTCATTTAATCCTTGAAATAGCTCAATTTTAAGCAGGTCCTACCATCCTCTTCTGCAGATTCAGAAAAGGTTGGTGGATTGCTCACCCATGTGGCTTGTGGTGACATGCTGATTGGTGACAGGATTGCTTCTATCTGCCAAGACCTTAGTCACAGAGGGAGGATATAGAGAGTTTACAAGTGATGACTTAGGACTCTATCTGAACATCCCAGTAGGCTGGACTGTGGGATTATAACCATCATTTGTCAAGGAAGACACTACTGGCAACTTTCAATATCTCAGGCCTTTTATGCGATTTAGAAAAGTTACTGGAAAGTCTAGTCTAAGAAACAATTCTGTTGTGAGTTTTAGGACTTCACATAAAAGTCTCCAGCTTTTCATTACTAAATATATGTGAATGTATACCACATTTCCTTGATCCATTCATCTACTGAGGGGCGTCTGGGTTGGTACCATTCTTAGCTATGATAAATAATGCTGCAATAAACATAGTCGTGCTGATAGCTTTAGTGTGGTCTTGTTTGTGATCATTTGGGTAAATGCCCAAAAGTGGGATTGCTGGGTCATAGGGGAGCTCTATGTGGAGTCTTTTAAGGAACCTCAATACTACTTACACAATGGAATTCTATGCCTCCATCAGAAAGAATGGCATTGCCCCATTTGTTAGGAAATGGAAAGACTTGGAAAAAATTATATGAAGTGAAGTAAGCCAGGCCCAAAGAAACATAGGTCCTATGGTTTCCCTTATTTGCAATAACTAGTATATTTCTGAGACAAGCAGAAATGGTCAGATAAGTTGATGTTAGGTGAAATGAATCCCAAGATAAGGACTCAAATGGTTTTTCTTTCTTGCTATTGTTTCTAACATATTTATAAGATTATTTCTTTGTTGCTTTGTATGTCTCTCCCCCTATGGCATAACCCCTGTTTTCACTGTATTTGATGTTGGTATAATTTGTGGAGGGAAAGGGAAAAAACAAATTGTTAAAAATAGGGATACAGGTGGACCCATTGCAACAATGAGATGTACAAATTGTTATGTCGAAAAACAAACTTTACAACTTTGGCGTGGGGTGGGGAGGGGCGGGAAGGGGGTGAGGGAAATGGGGAGTGGAGATGGGAAGGGATGGGAATGAGAAACAAAGGAGGAGGCAACAATGCTTGATAAGAAATATACTCCTTACCTTGCTCATGTAATTGTAACCCCTTTGTATGGTATTTTCACAATTACAAAAAAAGGAAAATATATGTGAATGTTCAAAGAATAGGTTAATGAGATTTACTATAAAAAATAAAGAATTATAAATTCTTCCCAGTCTTAACAACACAATAGAAAGTTTAGAAGGCATATGGTATTTAAGTCTTATTTGCATTTGTGGGCTTTCTGCTTCTGTAACAAAACATTCAAGATAAACCAATTTAAACCAGGGGAAGGTTTATTTTGGTGCAGTTTCAGAGGTTACAGTAGGTAATCAGTAGGCCTTATTGATTGGACATATGGCAAAGCATACATGACAGTGAGGAGGGAATGTCAAGCAACCTACTTACCTCACCACCCATGAGAAGCGAACAGAAATCAAGAGACTAGGATCCCAGTATTCTCTTGAATGACATACCATCAGTTACCTAACTTTCTTCCACTATGCATCACTTCCTAAAGGATCCATCTCCCTCTGTCCTCCAACAATGTCATGGGCTAAAGATCAAGCCTTCAACACTGAGCCTTCAAGGGGACATTCAAGATCCAAACTGTAACAAACTTCAAAGCAGCCTGTGTAGGGATTTCAGTGTAATGTGCATAGATTCTGGGACCTTGAGCAGCCTAAGAGCTTTTCTTAATGGTGGCTTTCTTTGCTTTTTCCTTTGCAGATGATCATTCTCGAGTGAGGCTTCAGACAATAGAAGGAGACACCAACTCAGACTACATCAATGGAAATTATATCGATGTATGTATTTTGAAGCTGTCAATATACCTAACTTTCTGACTAATGCTACATTTATGTGTCAACTATACAATTAGAATACATGTCCGTTTCAATCCAAAACATTAGTATTGCACAACATCCCACCATCCGAGAGGCTTGCACAATGATGATATAGCTGTCTCTTTTTTCTTCACTCAGCCTATTTGTGGATGAATTTCTCTACAACCTTTCTTTGCTGTACCATGCTTACATGGACTATGAGCATGTTATTTCTTTTTTTGTCAACAACTTGTAATTATTTGGCACCTTTAAAAAATCTGCTTGCATATTAATGGGACAAAACTCTCTTAATTCCTAATGTGGTGATTTGCAATCTCTTGTCATCATTGCACTTTTAAGTTGCCTTCAAAGTAGTAGGCAGCTGTTTGCCAGGACTTTCAACGCAAGCAAGACATGTCATTAAATATGCAGGCTGTTTAATTATTGAAGTTGCTTCTTTGTTCATTCTGCATCATGTCAACTTAATGTTTTACATGAGAAGAAATTCTTTAGGAAACAGCAGGCTTTTAGTTGAAAGAATGAATGAAATCAAAAGGAGACTGAAAAATCAAGGGAAAACTGTGGCTCCCTCCATGGCCCTTGTCTATATTAAACAGATTTCAGCTTCTTCATGATTCCCAAGGCATATTATGAGCTTGGTCTATACACCAGGCTTTAAGTCCATCAGCATCTCCCAGAACATGTCTTACTCATATACAATTCAAGCATCCCTAACCCCAAAATCCAAAATGCTCCAAGATCAGAGCTTTTTGATATCACAGAACTGATATGATATCACAGTAGTATAACATTCCACATCTAACCTTGAATGACAAATTGCAGTCAAATCCTAAGCATACCACACACAGTTTATTTAATCTTGACTCTTCCAATCCCTTCAGCTGTGATACACCAACTTCATTTCATGCACAAAAGGATTTAAAATACTGTATGTAATTTCCTTTAGCCTATGTGCATACAAAATGTAAATGAACATCATGATTAGAATTGGGTCCCATTCCCAAGTTATCATGTCATTGCATATGTGTAATTCTACAGTCTGGTCCCAAGAATTTCAGATAATGTATAGTCAACCTTTTATGTATTGTTTTGTTTTCTTGGTTACATTTTTGCAGATGCTGCAAAAGCAACTGGCATCAGAGTCTCTAGGAAAAGTTATCTACACGTGATCATAAAATGTTACTGTTAGTGCTAATTGGGAAACCTTGACATTTATATAGATTTGTGGGTTGAGTTTAGAGATGATGATTGAATAGTTTGTATCCAAATTCATCAACAACAAAATCCTGTACCATTTTGATGAAGGCCAAAATCATAAAAATCTCCATTTCAGAGTTTTTTCAGAAGTGCATTGCACAGTTCCTTCCTTCATGCATGGGATGCGTGTACACAGACGTGTCTCAGACACTATCACCACAGCCTCACACTGTCAAACCTGCACTACAAGTCTCCTTCAACTCCCTTGTGTCCAGGTGGACTGTGGCACACCTTCTTCTGGGAGGTGCCATTGGAGACTCCCCATTCTTATTCCATCTTGGGAGCCTGAGTCGTTAAGCAAATAGACAGTGTTCTATTCATCTTTGTATTGCAAACACCTGGCAGATGCCCAAAATAGTGAAGAGTTTAGTGTTTGATTAATTGCCAGCTAAAGGAATGAATGCGATCAAAGGGGATATCAAAGAGGAGTCCATTAGAGCTAAGCCTTCCATAATGGTGGGTAGAGAATCAGAGGCGAGAATACATTCCAACTCTAGGATGATGTGGGCAAATCTCTAAAATAATGGATATTCCAGATGGATGGCTCCTAGTGTTGTTTTAACCGACAGAGGGATCAATACCCAAACCTCCTTTATCTACTTAGCCAAAAAGATCTTACTGAGTAACTATTATATTTCAAGTACAGTCTGGATACCAAGTTTATAACTGTGAATAGATTCTCATTAAAAGCAAAACTCCTCAAAATGCAGAAACTCTTAACCTGATAGACTAGATGTTCTAATTGGGAGCAATAGACAATAAATAAAACAAGTAATTCTACATGGTAGGTCAGAAGGTACAATGGCGAATACTAAAGCCATAGGAATGTGAAGTTTGGAGGTGATCAACAACTTTGAATACAGTAACTGAAGTCCACTGCTTCTATTAGGAAGCTGACATTGAAGCAAAGATAAGTAGGGCCATGTATCCATCAGAGAGAAGCAGCTTGATGAAAGGCCTTGCTACAGAGCTGGCCTGGTGGATTTAAAAGAAAAGCAAGTGTTGGTGCCTGTTATGGGAATAGAAGGGAATACAGTGACATGAACCTATACCTTTCAGTGTGTGAAATGGAAGTCACTGGATTTGAGCAAAGGTCTAGATGCTCAGAGGAGAATGAACTGGGTGGACAGGAGCAGAAACAAGCAGAACTGCTGGATGGCCATGGAAGTAACCTGAGCGAAAGGGTGGTCGGTTGGCCCAGCTGAGAAAGGGTGGGGGAGGGATATGTGGTGGAATTCCACAGCTACTTTGAGGGCTGAGTTGATGGGATTTGCTGTTGTGAGAGGAACAGAGGGATCAAGGATTCCTTGAGGAGATGGGATTGCCATTTTTTAATAGACTGTGGGCATGTTTAGGTATTACTTAAGAAGGAAATGAGAAGTTCAGTTTTATACATAGTGAGCTATAAATATTTATTAGCTGCCAAGCAGAGGTTTTGGGAAGGTACTTGACACACATCGGGATTCAAGGAAAAGGACTAGACTAGAAATAAGAATATAGAATTCATAAGATTACAGGTGGTATTGAAGGCCATGGGACTGAATCAGATGACCAAGAAAGTGAGTGCAGACTAAAAAAAAAAGCCAAAAGATTGAGCATTCCAAAAGCAAGGGGAAGAATCAGACAAGAAAAAAGGAGCACAGAGACTCATCTCCTGGAACCAAGTAAACAAAGTATTTTATCAGCATTGATGGTTTTTATGCAGTTGGCAGGTTACTAGATGAGGACTGAGAAATAACCCTGGTGTTCAGTTACACAGGCCATTCATCAACTGGGTATGACTTCTGTTTTATCAAGGGCATCTCCCCTATCTCCTTGATTCCTTATTAAAGAAGCACTTATTAAGCACTCGAAGGACATGTAGAGCAAATAAATCCAAGTTACTGCCCTGGTAGAAGTTACCAGCCAAGTGGGAAATGAGTGACTAGGTAAAGAAATCTATTAAATATTAGCCACAATATATTTATATATGTATGTATATATTATATATGTATATATTCATATATATACACACATATGTTGTGACTAATACACACACACACACACACACACACACACACGGCCAGTTGTATAAAAGAATAGATTTGCTAGTCAGGCTCCAGTGGCTCATGCCTGGTATCATTGCTACTCAGGAAGCTGAGATCTGAGGATCACAGTATGAAACCAGCTGGGTCAGGAAATCCCATGACACTCTTATCTCCAATTAAATACCAAAATAGCCAGAAATAAAGCCTCAAGTGCTAGAGACGAACCTTGAGCAATAAAGCCCCAGGACAGTACCTAAACCCTAAGATCAAGTCCCAGGATTGGCAAAAAAAAAACAAAAAAACACATTTGCCTTTGTTGCTCATTGATGTTGATTTTTAAGAGTAGAAATAATTTTTGTGATATTTATTTATTTTATTAATAAGTTTTTTATCGTGAAAATATCATACAGAGGGGTTACAGTTACATGAGCAAGGTAATGAGTACATTTCCTATCAAACATTGTTGTCTCCTCCTTTGTTTCCCCTTACCATCCCTGCCCTCCCACCTCCCCCCAGCAGCCCCCCCACAAAGTTGTAAAGTTTGTTTTTTGACATAACATCTTGTACATTTCATTGTTGCAATGGGTCCACCTGTTATCCCCATTTAAACAATTTGTTTTTTCCCTCCCCAAATTATACCAATATCAAATACAGTGAAAACAGGGGTTTTGTTGCTTTGTATGTCCCTCCCCTATGGTATAGCCCTTGTTTTCACTGTAAGAGTAGAAATAATTAATGTAACAAATTAACGTTGTCTAAGAGATTTGTATTTTTTCTCCAAGTTTCTTTTTTCCTGTTTCCTGCTTTCCAACTAGCTGTGGGTACAATATTTGAGGTAAACTCAGGAGATAGAAATGAAAAGTATTAAAGCCCATCATGATACAGGGTGCTACTGGTGTAATTTTCTCAGCGTTGGCTTTATCTTTCCCAGATACTTACCCTACAATGTCTTTGCTGCCTGCTTTCTTCCATTCCAATTTTCTTCTTTCTCATTTCCAGTAGGAGCATGATAAAAGGAAAAAGATCTTGCAGAATTTGTGCTTCTTTAAATTCCTGGTCCTAGCAATGGCACGATGTCATGGTATTAGCCCTGCTTAAGAATGGTTCTGAGTATTACTATTGATGTAGCTGTCCATGCTGATACAACAGGATACGTTAAGCCCTTGGCACCTTGCCAATAACATCCCAACTACAAATGAAATTCTATTACACATTCTCAAGCAGTTTGCACCTTAATAAGAGTTGTGGTCATGTTATTTCAGAGGATCCATAAGTTGTTAGTGTTTATTACTCATCCATCATCACCTAGCCAGTGTATAATTAAGTACTCATGCCACCCATGCAACATCGAAGAGGTTACATTTGATATACCTCTGCTGATTAAGAAAAATTCAGTGGTCCTGGGTCTGCAATTTAACTTTTATGTCATGCTGGTGTATGTAAGCAGGATCATTTTCAGACACTTACCATGTGACTTCTATGCTACTTACTGATTTTAAGTATATAAGATATTTTTTTCTCATTTATTTTTAGGGCTATCATCGACCCAATCATTATATTGCCACCCAAGGTAAGGTTACTTTTGCTTTGATGTCTTTCTTTGATTGCTCACTTGCCATTCTCTATTATTTCTTTCCTGTTCCCCTCTTGAAGATATCACATATTCAGTGTATTGTAGTTCTGTCATCAATATGTATGCCTTATTCTCCCATCAGAAGTTGGGGGAGTATCGTCATTTATTTAGACCTTTATGTTAGGATCATTAGAAGAAATATGTTCGATTCTTTATTGAATTCTACCTTAGGAATCAGTCCTACATATGTTTATTTTTTTTTATTGTAAAGATACTGTACAGAGGCATTATAGTTACATGAGTAAAGTAATGAGTACATTTCCTCTTGAGCATCGTTACCCCCTCCTTTGTTTTTCCCAAGCCATCCCTTTCCTCCCTACCTCCCCAACTTCTCCCTCCCCCTAAGTTGTAGAATACATTTTTAACATAGTGTCTTGTACATCTCATTGTTACAATGGGTCAACCTATATCCTTGTTTCAGCATTTTGTTATTTCCCTTCCCCTCCCCAAATTAGAAAAAAATGTATATAGAAGATGCGGGGTACCGGAATCAAATACAGTAAAAACAGGGGTATACCGTGGGGGAAGAACATATGACAGAAACAAAAGAAATCACATAATACATTAAAAAAATAACTTTGTGGTATCTACTCTGCACTGTGCTAGTTGGAGCAGGAAGGCAAGCTGAACCCAGTGGTGGTGTGTAGAGGGAAGATGTGAAATGACCTGGTTTACTTGGGTAGGTGCAACCCTAGGTAACTTCTGTGAGAGGTACCAGAAGAGTGGTGGGAAATTATGGGATAGAAAAAGGTGGCTTTCTGATGAGATGGTTAAAAATCAGCTTTGTGGCTGAGGTCGGATTGGGAGAAGGGCTTGTAAATGAATAGACATCAAGAGCAAAGATCTGTAAACAGGAAATTAGTACTGCCAGGTGGAAATAGTGAGTAAGTCCTTTTGATTATAGGAAACCAAAGGAAAGGTAGACAAAATGTCAAGGAAGCTCATGATAATAGTTTTGATAATGATATTCTCTTCCTACCATGAGGCTAGTTAGTCATCTATCAGGTCTGAGGATCATAGGATATGTTAGTGAGTCATGAAATAAGCTAAAAACATGGTAAGAAGCAGAGAAGACCCAAGTAAGGTTGAATAGCGTGCATTTTTGCCACGTTATTATTTCAGCATTGTTTCCAGTGATTTCTTTTGTGTTCATAAGCTTTTCAGTACTATAACAAGACACCTGACATAATCATCTAGAAAGAGGACAAGCTCATGTTGGCTCACAGGTTCAGGGGTTTCAGTCCTTGACCAGTCAGCACATTGCTTTGGGCCTGTGGTAGCAGAGTACATCATGGCAGGTACACCATGTGGTAAAGGAAGCTGCTGATCTCTTGGCAGGGAAGCAAAAAAGACAGAGATGGGTCTGGGACCTGAATATCCCTTTCAAGAGTACTTCCCTGATGACCTAAGTGTTAGATTTTAATTAGTTTACAGAGAAGTAACTACCACCCGGTCTTCAGGCAGAAAGAGAAATTCATTCTCAATAGCCAGCCCCCAGCACAGGTTGGAGACAAAGGGGAAGGCAGAACTAGGAACGTGTGGCTGGGTAGGGAGAAGGCTTGGCCAGGCTGCATGCGGATGTGACCTCAGAGCCTGGGAACTGCTCATGGTCTGAGGGAGGCATGACCTAGGCGGTCCAGGATGTGACCTCAGAGAAAGGGAAGGTAACTGCTTCCAGGTGTGCAGTCACACCTAGGTAATGCAGGTGCTGCGCTGAAACTTCCGGCATGGTAAATGGAAGTGGGGGATGGGTTACCTATATGCAAACTGGCACAGGGCCTGGTACAGGGACCTTCCCCAAGCAGACTGACACTAAGACCATTCCTAATGCCCCACCTTCTAAAGATTACACTGTACTCAACACTGGCTAGCCGAGAATTAAAGCTTTATACCACATAGGTTTTGAGGGGACATTCAGGATCCAAACCATAGCAGTATAACATTTCAGAACAAACAAGCAAGGTAGTCAGTGGGCCTTTCCTTTCTATGGACTCCACATCCACAGATTCAGCCACCCAGCAGTTAACAATGTTTGAGAAAAAAAATGTGTCTGTATTGAGTATGCACAGAGTTTTCCCTCTGTCATTCCCTAAACAATACATTATAAATCTAGTATATGTCTGAGTCAACAGAAAAGGTCAGATAAGGTGATGTTAGGGAAATGAACCCTAAGATATGTATTCAAATGTTTTTTTTCTTTCATGCGATTGTTTCTAACACATTTATAAGATTATTTCTTTGTTGTTTTGTATGTCCCTCCCCCACAGTATAACCCCTGCTTTCACTGTATTTGATGCTGGTATAATTTGTGGAGGGGAAGGGGAAAAACAAATCATTTAAATAGGGATACAGGTGGACCCATTGCAACAATGAGATGTACAAGTCGTTATGTCGAAAACAAACTTTACAACTTTGGTGTGGGGGGGGGCATGTGGGGAGGATTGTGTGGGGGTGGGGGGAGGATGGGAAGGAATGGGAAGGGGAAACAAAGGAGGAGGCTACAATGCTTGATAAGAAATGTACTCATTATCTTGCCCATGTTAACCCCTCTGTACAGTATTTTCACAATAAAAATGGATAAATAAATAAAATCCCCAACAACAACAAAAAACCAATACATTATAACAACAGTTAGATAGCATGTACATTCTATTAGGTATTATAAGTCATCTAGAGATGATTTAAAGTATATATGCAGAATGTATGTAGGTTATATACAAATACACCTTTATGTAGAAGGGACTTAAGCCATCTATAGATTTTTGTATCCTTCAGGGTCTGGCATCAATCCTCTGAGATAAAGCAATTGCTTGTATTTGAAATGTAGTCAAACAAAGAAACATTGTAAACAAGGAACTGAATTTTAAACTGTAATATTTATATAAATAGATGCATTTGACACTTCCCTGTAGTAGTTTTAGACAGCTAAATTTTGGGTGGAAAAGGGCTAGATGTGTCCTTGTCCTGCCTGATGCCCACACTGCATTGAGAACTTGGTGACACCACATGTGCATGTGGATGGATAGTCCATGATTTCATGTCATCACCAGGGACTCTGTACCCAAATCAGGATGGACAACTAACTGCCTGACCTCCTCTGTGGCATGAAGTGAGTAATGGTCCCTTCTCAGGTTGCTTGGTGAGCCAAATGCATGCTCTACAGAGTGCCCTGTGTGAACCTAGCCAATAAAACCTTATGTAGGAGCTTCCAGAATCTTGCAAAAAACAAACACCTATGAGCACTAGTGGGTCACACATAATCCTAGCTATACAGGGAGGCTGAGATATAAGGTTTGTGGTTCAAAGCTAGTTTAAGCAGAAAAGTTTGTAAGAATCGTACTTCCAATAACCACCAAAATCCCAGAAGTGGAACTGTGGCTCAAGTGGTAGTGTTAGGTAGTGTTAGCCTTGAACACAAAAGCTCAGAGACAGTGCCCAGGCCCTGAGTCCGAGCAACATTACTTGGGGACACACACACACACACACACACACACACACACACACACACACACACACACACACACACACACACACACACACACACACACACACACACACACACACACACACACACACACACACACACACACACACACACACACACACACACACACACACACACACACACACACACACCCCTACCAGCCACCTCATTCTGAGAAGCTAAGAAAAGAAGTGATGAGGGCTGACAGGTAGGTTCAAGTTTTAAATCTCTCCTTGCGTGGATTTTTCTGTTTTGCAAAGAAATAGTGCTCTAAAGATATATTCCCTATCTGAACCTATAAAGCTACATGAATAGTCTAATTGGCAGACAACCAATTTTATTCCCAAGAGATAGCAATGCTTACATTTTTCACCAAGTTCCTTCATTATTCAGAACATACTATGAATTTATGTATTAAGTTTCTCTACCCCCACAACTACCTCAGATTTGTTGCTTTTTCTACTAGTGCCTGATTTTGACCTTTGATGATAATATTTCTGCCAATTAAGGGATTATATTCAAGCCAGAGCAATTTTTTTCTCCCCTTTATCTACTGTGTAATTGTTTCCTGTCTGGCAGCTAATATATTGATGGCCCAATATTAACTTCATCACATCGGAATGACCAGACTTAACACAGTTGTAACATTCAAGATTTATGACTTAACAAATCAGAGGATCAAATTGGAGGAAGTCCCATCTGTTACATGCTTAGAGCCTGGGTGGAGTTGAGATTTCAAAAGCAGGGCTCTCAGCAAGGAACAGGAGAGTATGCAGGAAGGCAGGAAGGCCAACCCTGAACCAATCAATCTCACCATCAAAATACACCCTGTGGAGTCAACATAAGCTACAAATTGGGTGAAGAACATTTAGCACTGGCCTTTCATAGTGACTGGAGAGGGCCCTGCCTGCCTCTTGCTGAACACCCAAGGAGGCCTGTAGAAATGTTCTTTTAATTGTTTAGCTTCATTTATAAAACTGACTTCAAGAGCTGGGTCTCACCTCAAGGTTTGTGTAGCTACTCAGAAGGCTAACATGTGAGGAGTGAGGCTTAAAACCAACCCAGGCAAGAAAGTCTATGAGACTCTTATCTCCAATTAACTACCCCCCAAAAAAAACCAGAAGTGAAAAGTGGTAGAGTATCAGCCTTGAGCTGAAAAATCTAAGGGACAGCACCTTGGCCATGAATTCAAGCTCTAGCAGACACACACACACACACACACGCGCGCGCGCACACACACACACGCACGCACGCGCGCACTGACTTGGAGGGAATCATGCTTTTAGATAGCTCAGAGAAAGACTGTGAAAGACAGGTAAAAATGAAAATGTTGCTCCTGTGGAAGGTATAGCTTATGATCACAAAGTCTTTTGTTCTCTCTTATTTCTTTTCAGAGGCATTGATCATTTTATTAATTTTTGAGATATTTGCATTTAAATTGACATGTAAGAAT